TGCCATATGGAAAACTATTAATTACAGTGAGGAATGTGTGTATTGTTATTTTACAAGCAGGCACAAGCTTAATGTGGGGAAATGCCACTTGCTGTTAACTGGGTTCACCTGACGTCTCTTGTTTGGAAGGATGGGCACATTTAGCTCATATCTGTCTGCAAAATGTCATGTACCCATGAAGGAGATGAGGGATTAGTCAAAGGCAATAAGGAACTATTGAGCAGGAAGGCAACAGCAAACAGCTTTGAAAGGAGAAATGTTAAGGTCCAAGGATTTCACTAGTGGAATTTCTCTCCAATTTCTTACCAACTGGTGCTGAACCAGTTTTCTTCAATGCTGCCATTGAGAACTTTTGGCATGAAGAGCAGCAGTGTACCAATAAAATTGCTTGATGATGCAAAGCCGGGAGATGTTAATTAATAAGACGTGGAGATACTGTTAATACAAAGTAAGTTCAAGCTGTCTTGCAGAAAGGTTAGAATGGCCTGAAGTACTGGAAAAATAAAAGCAGTGGGGTGGAATTCAATAGTGCCATGTGTAAGGTATTACCATTTCAGGATGAGTGAGAGTTTCCACTGTCAGCTGGATAATAACAGTGTGCAGGAGATCAGGCAGATACTGGAGGTTGGTTGTGAGTGAAAAGGGTGCAAGAATGTATCACGTAAGATGTGTCCACCTGCATTAGGGCCTACTGCTACAGAGTAGTGATGAGAGAGGGATTTTGAATTGATCAGAAGAATGGAGTGCCTAGTTACTGAGAGGTAACTGAAAAGCTTGTTTGTTTAGCCTATTTACAGAAGGAAAAAGATACATGCATTATAAACATATATAAGTGAGAATATATATGCTGTCTATAAATGCATGAGAAAATAAGTCAGTGAAAAAATAAAGCTATGAAGCTTTATTAGACAAGTTCATTGAATGTTTTTTTTCCCTTTCATTGGTTGTTGAAAAGCATTATAAAAGCCATCTCTCACCCAAAGGGAACCTGACCGCATAGGATGCTGTGTGTTCTTACCTCTTTCAATTTAGTTTAGACTTGAGTGTGCTTATGTTTGCCATAGGGGAATTATGAGAAGATAAAAACTAGTTTTACCCTCTGTTTTCCTTTGCTTAAGTCTTGTAGTTTTCCAGATTTTGTCTTAAGAAAATACATAACACTGTTCCTTTAAATGTTTTGAAACAAAAGGAACAGCAAAAGGATCAGTACTGAAACTTTCTTTAGTCGAGATCTGCTATTTTCGGTGTGATAGGTAGCAATTAGATTTTAGATTTAATTGGAAAATTTGTATTTTCACCAAGTAACTGCTAAAATGGGAGAGTAAAGAAACAAGAATTCTCTTTTGCAAGAAAGTGGAGTAGGGGACAGAGAAGGGGAAAGTATCTATCCACGTTAAACCAAATATGAAAATGTAGAAACTTGTAGGCAAAACAAAATGTTGAGAAAGAGACCATATCCAAGTGATCAGAATACCCTGTCAGGGTTAAACAGGAACGTCTCTATGGGTGACAGCTATACTAAAGGGTGAGCGACTTCACCTCTAAAGTGACATCTCTAGGGAAAACCTCTGACAGAGGTACCTGGGTGTAATTATTTTTCAGCTTGTTGCTTCTTCTTTACCCTGCCTTCCAAAAATATTTAATCAAAATAGATCAATTTCTGTGAAAAGTTCTGATTTCCATAGCTTGACATTTCTCCAGAGGAACAATATTTTGTTAAAAAATTCCCAAGCAACTGTTGTTATTACTAGAGGTGAGCTCATGCAGGATTTTTGCCATGTGCACTATGGATGGATTTCAATATACGTTATTGGAGCCTTCCAAATGTTTTACAGTAGTGCAGACACCATTATTTTAGTTAGCAATTTAACTTTGTAAAGGGCACTGTTTTGCTTTCCTTCTAGTGAAGGAAGACATCTCTCTTTTGGGAGGATATTTGAGTAATTTATTTGTGTTTACCACTCTTCAGGCCTGTGAACAATGGGTTGTTTTGTCACATGGCTGCATGCTGTGCACAGAGACTCTTGTGCTTGAATTTCTGTTAGTCTCATGAAGCTTCCTAATACTGACTTCACTACATGTTACTGAGGAAGTTAACACGTCTGTTTTTCTTCCCTTCACTTTTTGTAGTTGTTGGGGTTTTTTTTAAATCCAAAGTACCTGATTCTGCTGTTATTTTTGCTGGTGCAAGCCCAGATGCAAACCCTGTCAAATCAGTGCAGTTTTCTCTGCTGAAAAACTGACATAAATAAGAGTATTCAGACTCTAGTGCCTCTGACTTTTGTCCTGAAAGGCAAGTGGAACATTAGGAGTATTTTTTATGATAGTTCTCCAAAGAGACTAGCCGTTAATCTCTCCATGAGTAGGTGTGTCAGCTGCAAACATTTCCTTCCAGTCTACCATTTCAATCACACTTCACAGTACACTGAAAATTGGCAAGGATGTTAATTATTGGCCTCTAGAACAAACCACCTACTTTGGTTCAAGCGTGTTTTCCAATTTTTAAGAATGTTGTTTCACCTACAGAACAGTATAATTACAGAAAATAGCTTGGTTTGGCTAACATCTTGTATTCTGTGAGTTCTGCTTGCAAGGCAGCAAGCAGCACCAGGCAAGAGGCTCACCTGCAGAGGATTTTAACCTCTTGGTGACAGGACTTAAGGCTTGCCAGCATCCAGTACATTGTTTTCAGTATCAGAAGCTCAAAACCACTGTCACTCAGAGGTTAAACATTAGCACTTTGTGCTTTTAAAGCTCAAGGAACCCCTCCATATAGTAAAAAAGTTTGGTTTTATTCTCCAGGTAACTTCCTGTTAAAATTTGATTCATGTCTGTTACAGAAGCAATTACAGCAGTGGGTCCTGTACCTGGGCAATGCAAAACCCTGGGTACAACGTGACCCACCAAGCAGCATGGTTCAGAGACTGCTTGTGTAGCTGCATTTATGCAATGCAGAGTTCAATAAAATTTGCCAGGAATCAGCCATGTATCCAGGACATGATTAATCAACCAGCAGAATAAATTGCCCATAGATGACTGGGAGTTGACAGTAAACAGTAAAACACCTGCCTTGAAGGCTTACAGTCTTGATAGACAAACAGGAAACAGAAGCAAGTGGGAGCTGTGTTTTAGGAGAGAGATTTTCAGGCATACAGACAGAGTTGTGCATGATTATACAGTGAGTTTGGCAGTTAGAGTCTGTACTATGTGCATTTCCCTTCATGGGTTTGTAGCTCATGTAACAGGTCTTTAATTTACCAAGAAACTTTTCCACAACACTGTCCTGAAGAGTTGGCAGAATCCACAGTCGGCATTTCTCACACATGTGACTCTTGGTTTAGGGCTCTATGATTTGTACAATTAATAACTTATACCATGAATTAAAAACATTGGAAAACAGCCCAATATTCAGGCTAATGTGTCAAGGAATTGCTGTGCAGGCCTGATATTATTTGTTGTTACAACAATAAATCATCCACTGATTTAAAGATAATTTATATGGTACCTGGGCCCTCAAGGGAGTTCTGTAGTGCTATTGAAACTGGACATTGTTAAAGTAATGGTGATTAAGCTATACACCCATATTAAATATGCATGAGTACTTATTTCTCCAACCCTCTCTTTAACCCATAAGGCCTGTTGGGGCTAGCTGCCTTCCTGGCTTGCAAGGCACATGCTGCAATTTCGATAACGGTCATGAGTAACAGGCCCTTCACAGTTCAGTGTGAATCAGCAATGGGAGGGGGAACATCCGGTAGGGAGATGACAGTGGTTGCACGGGGATTCCCTCTCTCCACTCTAAACCAGATCCTGGGTGAGAATGCACCCAGATCCCAGCACATGCTGTCAGTGCCAATCTGTGAAGCCCATGCTGGCTCATCACCTGCCACTGCTCAAGGTCCTGGTTATCCAGCAACTCTTCTGCTGCTAACATCAGCCAGAGGCTCCCACCATAGGAGCTGTGCTTAACAGCCAGGGAGCTACATGAAGACCAAGAGTCATTCATTGGTAATTCATGGCTGAGTGCCTTGCTTCACACTCTATGTGCTGTTTTGCACTATAGGTACACATATATGTCAATACAAAATACGTTTACTGGTAACCATTTGGCTGAACTGAAGAGTTCTAACCTCAGCTGTTCAAAAACTTTACCATATACATGAGAAAAGCCATTCAAAACATCATACTGCCGGGTGGAAAAAACCTAGAAACAATTCTAATGCTAGAACAAGAAAGAATTTTTCACAAGAATTAAATAGGCAGTGTGTCCTGGTTTCAACTGGAATAGAGCTCATTTTCTTCCTGGTAGCTGGTACAGTACTCTGTTTTGGATTCACTAGGGGAATAACGTTGGTAACATCTAAACACTGATGCTTTAGATGTTGCTAAATGGTGTTTATCCCAAGTGAAGGACTTTTCAGTGTCTCATGCTCTGCCAGTGAGGAGGTATGCAATAAGCTGAGAGGGAGCATGGTCAGGACAGCTGATCAAATTGGCCAAAGGGATATTCTGTACCACAGAACATCATGCCCAGTATATAAACTCAGGGGAGTTACCAAGAAGGGAAGGGGGGTGTGAGCATGTCTCAGGGGGAGACTTGGCATTGGTCTGTGGGTGGTGAGCAGGTGTATTATGCATCATTTGTCTTTCTCTGTGCTTATATCCCACTGTCTGTATCCTTTTTATTACAATTATTAGTATTAGTATCATTATTATTCTTTTTTACTTTGTTTCAGTTATAAACTGTTCTTATCTCAATCAGCACATTCAGGTTTTTTTCCTTTCCTGATTTTCTTTGCCATCAGTGGTGGGGAAGGAGCAGTGAGCAAGTGGCTGCATGGTAATTAGTTGCAGGCTGGAGTTAAACCACGAGACACTATTACATGACAGTATCACTCTATATGTGTAATTAATAAAATATGGCTGAAATGAATGCACAGACTGTTATGATTTCAAAGCAATATGGAGAAATTGTTTACTACTTGTTTATCATTTCACAGGCAGAATTGATAGCCTTGCGACAAGAAAAAGAGGCTGCTCTTCAACAGTCAAAAAAACTAGAAGAAGAAATCCAGGCGTTGCATGTTTATTACAGGTAAAATGATCGATTCTAATATGAATGAGTGACTCATGGGGAAATTTTCTGTAGTGTGTCTGACTGAGTGAGGAAATGGCCTTATCAAATAGGTATTTGTTGGAAAAGTGTGAATACATTAATGAATCAAAGCCTGATTTCTGCTTTACTGCTCACCAACCATCCCTTTGAAATAGAAGTCCCTTTCTTATAGCCTAAATTTTCTATTAGTTTCTTCTAAAGGAAGGAAAAAGTTGCTGATAGTTGATTCTCACACTGAAAAGCTGTGTTATGGCAATGCAATCACTTACAAACACATGGACAAAAGAACCAGTTTACATAAGTGCTTGTTTCTACCCTGACTGTTTGTGCATATCTAACTTAACACAGATTTTAAAATGCTAAAATCTGTAATTCTGAACTACTGTTTTCTTCTTCAGCTCCAATATATGTATGTTTTATGTTCTGTAGTAGTAGAATGAGAGCAATAGCCATTCTCTCATTAATTTAGGTGGGCTGCGCTGAACATTTGCATGGATCAGTGGGGTTTAGTCCCTAAGGAAAAGCTCTGTGTGGTCCAGTGAAGGAGTTAGGTTGTTTTATGGAGTGATGTTGGGTTACAGCTCTCATTTCATCCTGACCTCCTGTGTGAGAGGGGATACAGAGCTGCCAGCAGGTTAAAGGCAGGAGAATTGGCATCAACACAGCAGAAAATTGTGAATCTGAAAGCTGAATGTCTGGGATGAGGGATGTGGGCTGCAGAGGTAAATAATAAATGTAGTGTGAATACTATGTTCATTGGAAATAAAGAGGACTAGTTAGTTATGACTAAGAAGCATTTGCAGTAGCAAAACTGTGTGTGTTTTCAGTGTTTCAGCATTCACAAGTGAAAAATACTTGGGTTTCTAGAGGTTTTTCGAGTTTCCCCTTCTCATTAAGTTTATTAAAACCTTGGAGGGAAGTTTCAAAAACAAGTTGTGTTCCTAAATCTCATAGGCATTTATTTAAAGCCTGTTAATAGTGAATAGAAACCCCAAGCAATTTGTGATTATTGCTTTTAATGAATTTGGTCAGCATTTAGTGTGTGCACAAATTATGCTATGATTTATCAAGCTAGAAAGAATTTATTATAGTGCCCTTATTACACACTTAAATGGGTTTTGTAGAATAATTTAAAAACTCAAATGCAATTGTTGTATTGATCTTTCAGAAATTAAGAGTTGGCTTGTGTTTGTTTCTGCACATTGTAGGAGATTTTTCATTGACTTTTGAGCTTTATTTTTGGCATAGCCTATCAAGTTTGAAGCAACATATAATGTTTAACAAGTATAGTAAGCAGCACCTGCAATTTACTGCATTTACAGCATTGGAATGTACCATGTTATTAATTTATGGCTCTTAATTTGAACAGTCAAAATGTCACTTTAATTTGGATGTTGGCATTTGCAAGATCTAGTTATAAGGTGTGGAAACGCTCGCCTGATTATCACCTGGGGCAAGAACTATTATATCGCTGCTAAATTATACAGGTTATAACATCTAAAGTGGAAGGTTTTATCTCCTACCTCACTGTTCTAGAGGCTAACGCATTCTGAAATGGACCTACAGAGTGACTAACTGAGGTTGGCAGGGACCTCTGGAGGTCATCTTGTCCAACCCTCTGCTCAACAAGGCCACTGAGAGCGGTTGCCCAGGACCATGTCCAGATGGGTTTTAAATATCTTCAAGGTTGGAGACTCTTCATCCTCTCTGTATCGAGACACTGTCTGAGCATACAGAGATGTGACTTGTCAAGCCAAAGGCCACCTGGTGAGGGGTGTAAAAGGCAAGAAGAAGGACTCCTATAAATGCTTAAGTAGCAACATTTGATGTCTCAGGCCTATCTTTTGCCTTGGTTAGAAATTAATTGCGCCATTATAAGGATTCTTATGAACTTCTAAATGTTTTGGTTACACTTTCCCTTACATTACGTGAACATCTGCAGCTTCTGTCATCCAACAGTGTGGCAGTCCTTTGAACACATGCCAAATGAGACAGAAAAAATATATCTTACACGTGCATAGAGCTCTGGGGACTGTATCAGGCCAAGAGTGGGATGGCCACAGTAATCATAAATAACAAGGTAGAGGGTGCATTTTCCAGGCCATTCCAAATGAGAGAAAATTGGCACTCTGTTTTGTATGTGGAAGCTAATTAAGGGACATTTCTGTAGATGTCTGCTGGGTTATTTTTATTTCCTTCTAGTGCTTGCCATACTATGGTAATCTAGAATAAGCACTGGGAGTGGTTTTCAGACAGTCTGTTTTGGACTGAGATGGAAGTTTGGTGTTTTGATCCAAGTGAGTTAGCTACATGATTTGCTGTTCAAATCTCCATTTCCCTGAAGTTATTTCTCTTCTGGACTTCAGAGATCCCCAGTGAGCAAAATAAAGGCTTCTGCATATGCTCCACTCCTCATCTGAACTGTAGAGCTGCAACGAGACAATGCAGGGTGCACATTCTCTTCACCTACTGTTCTCTCATGCCTTTGCCAGTCTCTCGCACCTTCTGTCATACTGGTGGTGCCAGCATTACAGCAGCTTGAGAATCTTGGCTCCATTTGGTGGCTTCTTCTCCTCCTGCTCTTAGGTCTTCCCTGGTCTTAGAAAAAGCATTTGCTCATACTTTATTCTATTTTCCTTGTTTTAACTGAGATCTCTACATCATCCTTTAACACAGGAGGAGCAAATTTAAGAAAAACAAAGTAAAACTAGAGGCTAACATTAAAGGGTGCAAGGGATACCTAAAGCAATACCTTAACAAATGACCACAGTTTAGGGATTTGATCACAAAAGTAATGACTATGTGCATATATTAACAATTTTTGAATGCATACATGTGTAAACAGTAACATTAAAATATGTGGTTTTATACCAGTCTGCCTTTCACTAATTTTAGTATAATCCAGAACAACACAGGTATCATCTTATTATACAAAATCAAGGAAGAGGTATTTAGGACCAGAATATCTGTGTGTGTGAACGTGTGTACACAGGCATGCTCTAGGGAGGGGAGGAAGTGAAGACATTCAGGGGAAAAAAAAAGATCTTGGTTTTTTCCTCCAAGAGAAAGATTCCTGGTACCTAGAATAATGCATCCAGCTTTGGGTGCCCAGTAAAAGTAATACATCTGTAAATTGGAGTGAGTTTGACAGAGAGCTACCAGTATGGTCAGGAAGCCATAAAATTTGCACTGTAAAGAGACACTGAGGGTACTGGTCTTGTACAGCCTGGGAAAGAAAAAATATTTCTTTCTCTGGTGGCTCCAAGGAGACCTAACAGCTGCTTGGCAGAGTATGTGAGGAGGTTGTCAAGAAGGATGGGCCCTTCACAGTGACACATGACAGCACGGTGAGAGACAACAGACTTGAATTGAAACAAAAGAGTTTCAGACAAGTTATAAGGGAAAACCTTTCCACCATGAGGGCTGTCCCTCATTGGAACAGGTTGCCAGAGACGTTTAGCCATCTCCATCCTTGAAGATTACCAGTGCCTGACTTTATCAAGTCATGAATAACCTGGTCTGATCTTATAGTTGATATCACTTTGAGAGGAAGGTTGGTTGGACTAGAGACTGACAGTGGTCACTTCCAATCTGATCATTCGACAGTTCTGTGATCTGGTAGCGTCTGCTGTTTGAAAACATTCTTGTTGTTTTCCTCCATCTGTGAAAGAAGTCTAAGTTATAAAGCATCCTTCTTTTCAGATTAAGTGAAAAGTGAATCCTAGCTGAAACTGGAGTTTTGTGGAAAGCATGAAAGTTCCAAACGAAAATTAAAATGTGCTTTTGGGAAATTAATGATGGAACATTGATTTCACTCTTAATTTTCTGAAGAGAAAGTGCATTCCAGAACAATTTGTCTTCTTTAAAAAGGAAAGGGAAGGTAAAAGGGAGAAAAAGAAAAGGAGGAAGAATCTAGTTCACATACAGAAGGGAGAAGTTGGCTCTGAATAAAGTTTGGCCGGTTCTCTGCTTCTGTTTGTTCTTCTTGTGTTATTTCTGTGTCATGTCTCAAAAGGAAAATTGTGTTTTCTGGGTACTAACTCAAAAATGCCTATCAGAAATGAAATTTGCATAGCAGTTAGGAACAGTGTAGAGTTGCTAGCTTACTAATATAATTGTTTCGATACAGTGGTCTTCAAGATAGGGATTAATGCAAATCATAGATCCTCAGTGCCCAAAGAAGGCTATGTCCAAATAATCAGTTTTGAAGTGTATGGGAATGTTAATCCCACTACCTCTTTATCACATAGCTCTGTTGTTTGAATGTCATCACAAGTTTTTTATTTGCTTATTTTTCAGTTAAGTAATCTGTCCAGTTTTATAATCACTTTCCTTCTTCCCCTACATTTATATGATGAGCATGATGCCACATGGTTTGGGATATCCCTGTGGAAAGTTGGGGTCAGCTGTCCTGGCTGTGTCCCTTCCCACCTTCTTGTGCACCCCCAGCCTACTCACTGGTGGGGTGGGGTGAGAAGCAGAAAAGGCCTTGACTCTGTGTAAACACTGCTCACCGATGACTAAAACATCCATATATTATTGACATTTTTTCAGCACAAATCCAAAATGTAGCCTTACAGTAGCTGCTATGAAGAAAATTGAGTCTATCCCAGTCCTAACCAGTACAGTGTTGCAGAGTAATTGGAATCTATAAGTTACAGCCAGCACAGAAAACGATGGCTTATTTTACAATTATGTGATGGTTTTCAACAATGAATTAGAAGAATAACTTCAGTGAGGCCCCTTGTGCTAGTAAGTACAATGATCTGAAATAAATATTTTTGCATTCAGACTTTGACTTACTATGGGTAGCTTCTCTGTCAGCAATACAAACAGTTTTCTTGCTCCTTAACCAGTTCTGTCACTTTTATAAGTCTTAAAGTGTTGAAGATATTTAACAGCATTTAAATCTACAAGTTTCAATGCTTCTTGTACTTTAATTAAATTGGAATTCATGTTTAAGTGACACAAGCATATAG